GGCAGTCCCTGACACAGCAACAGACAAAGCACCTGGGACACTTGCATTTCTGGGCTGTCCTTCTGTCTGGCTGTGCCTCAGTGCACACCTGCAGTCTAATCATAGTTTTATTAGCAGACCATGTAGGTGTACACTCCGTAGCTGCAGTTCAAATTAGCCACCCAGGTTTGCTCAATTAGCCAGCCATGAGAGGCACCATCATCTCACTCAGCTCAGGCATCCCCTCATAACAAAACCCCTTTTATATTACCAAGCTAGTTGTCTGGACTCCTTCTGTAGACTAGCTAAGTGTTTGATCTGTAAAGTTAGGTGAAATTAATCCCATCTCTTACTACATGCAATTTCCTGAAGGTGGAACAGGCTGCTACTAATTCATCTCTACGAGCCTCTTCAAAAGGACAACAGGACAGCTGTGGTTGTTTGGTAACAGAGCAGAGCCCTCTGCCTTGACACCAACTTCTAGACGAAACAGTGTCTAATACTTGTGAGACACTCTGGAGTCCAGAGGGGCTTGTGATGAGATGAGACTTCTGTGAGACCAGTGTCTTTTTGTAACAGTAACTAGGAACCAGGAGGACAGCACAAGAGAATCTTGGCTAGCAGCGGACACCTCATCATGTCTGCCTGAGAGCTGGGGGTGTGAACTACCTGTGAAGTCAAGGCAGACAATGTCCATAGACCCTGGGGACTGAATCCGCTTGATCCACAGCAGACACCATTGTAACCAGAACACCCACACAAGGCTGGTAGGCAGGACACAGGCTTTAACAGAGTCTTCTGGAGCAGCAGCTGGAGGCTAGGCAGGATTTGCAGTAAAAAATTGTGTGTAAGGATCTGAACTGAACCCAGCCAGACATTCTTGTTGCTTCTGTAGGCTAGTACTGGAAAGTGACAGTAATTTAGAAGAAATTAAACCAGAATCTCTATCAACTTTCATCCATCCATCCATCCATCCATCCATCCATCCATCCATCCATCCATCCATCCATCCATCCATCCATCCATCCCCAAGAAACAGTAAGCTTTAGTCTTCTCATTTTTTCTTCTGTAAGATCTTTCTAGACATTAGAGGCAGTGTAGTTAAATCTAGAGGGGCTGATCAGTGAGACACAGGAGTCATGAGATACCAGTGCCCTTTTGAACCAGAAGCAAAAGCCACACAGACTAGGGGCTGTATTTGCTTGTGCTTTCTTAGGGGTATGATGAACACAGTTTTAATACTTAAAAGACATGAGGCTTAAATCACTTGCATTTGAAAGTTTAGATAAAACAATATACATTTAGTTTTAGGGCAGGAAGTTTTCCCAGAAGAATTCATTTCTAGTTTCTTTCAACATGATCACAGGCTGAACTTAGGTGTAATACAATTAGGGGAATTCTAACCCCGTTTCTTTCCATCTATGAGAAGAATGAAGCTTCCTATGTCCATATTAGTAGAGAGACGTCCTGTACTCATATAGAAAGGAAACTTTTTCTATGCTATAAGTAGTTTTAAATCAAACTGAACATTTAAGAGAAGAATTCAGAGTAAAAAAAATAACACTACAGACACTGATAAGGAGTTTTATCTCAACCAAGCCCAAGCAAAATGAATCACAGAAATTCTCTCATCCTGAGAATTTATGCATTTTATAATTCCCAAAGGAAACAATCGCATCAGATAAAAATCTTTAGACCAAAATTAAAAAGAATAAAGCTGACAGAACTGCCTGAAATACCTATTTTAGCAGAGAGTTATTAGAAAGTCAGCATAAATTGCCTCTTAATAATACTCATCATGCATCTATTGTCAGTAAATCCAAGTAACCCTGGTTTTATATACCTCTGTAGACTTTATTTTATTGCTTACTTGCTTAGTAAATTTAAACTAGGTATATTGGCAATGTGTTTAAACTGTCACCTGAAAAAGGTAAACTTCCATCACTCATTATGAGCCTGCTTTAAAATATCCAGTGCTTGGGGCTAAAGGCATGAGTTTGCAAAGCTCAAATTATTGGTCAGAACATTCAAAAGATCCATCTTCAGAATATTTTTAGTCATGTTGCAGGCATCTCAGTAACTCTGCCTCAAAATGCACTTAAAAGTAATAACCTAAGGTAGTCAAGACCTTAGTGAGGAAGCACTGATAAACCTTTAATCCTCATCACTTCCACTTTTAATTTCAACAGAGTATCTACAAATCTGAGCTGAACAGAAGATCTATATACACCACCAGGTAATGACTTAGCAATATTGTATGTAAAAGTTATAGTGAACAAATCAAATAGGCAGCAATGTATTATTGAGCTAATAGATAATTTCTGTCAAATCCCGGTTGTTACATTTTTGTTAATTTCTATATAACTTTTTCAGGAGAGAATATTAACTGAAACACTGCAGGAAACCATTTCATAGAGTGATAGAATATCCTGAATTGGAAGAGCCCCACAAGGATCCTCCAGTCACAAGGATCACCCTGCACAGACCCATCCCCAAGAGTCACAGCATGTGCTGAGAGCACTGTGCAAATGCTTCTTGAATGTGTCAGGCTTGGAGCTGTGACCCCTTCCCTGGGGAGCCTGTTCCAGTGCCCAACCACCCTCTGGGAGAAGAGTATTTTTCCAATATCCAACCTAAGCCTCCCCTGACACAGCTTCAGGCCATTCCCTCAGGCCCTGTCTCTGGTCACCACAGAGCAGAGATCAGTGCCTGCCCCTCCTCTTCCCCTCACGAGGAAGCTGTAACTGCAGTGAGGCCTCCCCTCAGTCTCCTCCAGGCTGAACACACCCAGTGCCCTCAGCCTCTCCTCACAGCTTCCCCTCAAGGCCCTTCACCGTCTTTGTTGCCTTCCTTGGGCACTCTCTAATAGTTTAATGTCTTTCTTACATTGTGGCACCCAAATCTGCCCCCAGCACTGGAGGTGAAGCTGCCGCAGATCAGAGCAGAGCAGGACAATCCCCTCCCTTGCCTGGCTGGAGATGCTGTGCCTGATGTCCCCAGGACAGGGCTGGCTCTCCTGGCTCCAGGGCACTGCTGGCTCATGTTTTCAGCTTGCCATTGACCAGGACCCCCAGGTCCCTTTCACTGGTCTGCAGCATTTGTTCCCCAGCACAAAGGCATATCCAGTGCTGCCCCAACCCAAGAGCAGATGTTGAAACTTCACATGGTGGTTGACTGCCCATTTCTCTAATTTGTCAAGGTCTCCCTGCAGGGTCTCTCTGCCTCCAAGTCAACAGTTCCTCCCAATTCTGTATTGTCAGCAAACTTACTTAGTATTCCTTCAAGTCCTGCATCCGTTTGGTATACAAATTGTATGTAAGAGGCTTTGCAAATATATTTAGTAGGTTAAACTTTTCAGTTACTAGCAATTCAAACAAATGCTTTAGAAGTAAAGAACCTTTGAATCCCATAATCCCCTGGATCCTTCAGTTCCCTCAGGAATAGACGGATAAGCCTGGACTTCTTCCCAGCCCCATTCTTGTTAAAGAATGAATAGCATTAATATTGCCAGAGGAGGATGTGAGGAAACATGCAATACCTTCCATCAGGCATTATGAAATCCAATGTCAAATGTCACAAAAATTTCCAAGCTATTTCACAGTGTTTTAACAAGCAAAAGAAACATTAATTCAGTGTTTAAAAATGAAACACTCAAGTAGTCATTGTAATTAGTATTAAAATAGGATAGAGAATTCATGTAAAGTCTGACAATAGGCTTTTATATGCCAGTAACACACTGTAAATTACTTTTAAAAGACAGTTATTATTTCAAGTGTTCAAAAATTTCTGACAAGAGACTAATTAATAACATTGTATTGGTCTTAATAAAATGGACACTATTGTCTTCTAAAGCCTAATTTTGAAATTATTGTGAACTCTCAGATGCATTATGTTGTCTGATTTAAACTGTATTTAACACTGCTTTGTTATTTAAAAATACGATTTGAAAGTAAGACAACAAGAACTCAACTTATTTGGCCTAAAGGGAAAATAATTAAAGGAAAGAGCTAAATAACTATATAAATATTCAGAGGGGAAAAAAGACTGAAAAGAAGAGAAATATTTTCACTGGGATTAGTTGCACTAGTGTCAAGGGCTGAAGCTGAAACAAAAAAAAATAAGCTATGTATTAGGAAAAAGTATTTCTGAAGACAATAAGGTTGACTGGACAGAGAGGAAACTGACTGCTTTTCAAGTTAACCAGCTTGATCCCCTTCCTTTCCTCTCTCCTAGGCAGTCAGAGAGGTTTCTCAAAGAGGAACAGTTGGTGCCCCTTATCTTTTCATGAGTCACCAAAGTTATTTGAATTATTAAAAATTCTCAAGAGCTTTTCTCCTCTAGTTTCCCCCACTTCATGGGCATCATTAACCAATGGAGAGGGGACATCCTAGCCTCTAGATAACCTGCAGAAAGGCGTGCAGTCAGATGAAGAATGTAATGGAAACACTGTGTGGTACCTACAAACATTCTTGGCCAGTGCCAATGGTTACCCTACATGCCAGAAGGCAGGAGGCATCTTGCACATCAGAGCCATTAAGGTGCTATTGTATTGGTTTTGAGAAAACAAATCATCACTGGACATGACTACCAACTCAGTCCCTAAGTGGTGGGCAGATACTCAGGACGGCACAATATTGGAACTATTCTTCAGCTTATATAGAAACATCCACAGTTAGTCCTCAGGGCATTTGTTTTCATTTTCTGAGTTTGTGCCTGCATTATGGCTACAAATTAGTAATTGGGTTATTCTCTCATAAACACAACACAGTAAAATGTGTTGTATTCATTTATTTGCTTTGACTGAATACCATATTACTGGAAGGTCCATGGAGAAAAGAGAAAATACTGCATATTTAATGACTTGATTTTTTTCTCCCTTTTCTGAAAGTGTCCTGATTTCAGGAGAAAGGAAAAGAGAAAGGAAAAGAGAAAGGAAAAGAGAAAGGAAAAGAGAAAGGTAAAGAGAAAGGTAAAGAGAAAGGTAAAGAGAAAGGAAAAGAGAAAGGAAAAGGGAAAGGAAAAGAGAAAGGAAAAGAGAAAGGAAAAGAGAAAGGAAAAGAGAAAGGAAAAGAGAAAGGAAAAGAGAAAGGAAAAGAGAAAGGAAAGTGCAACTCCATGAAAACGTTTCTTCTATCTTGCCTCCTTTGTTATTGTTTTGTTAAAACTTATGCAGCTCTTGCATAGGTGGAGTCTCCTTTTAAGTCTAGCTTCAGCTGTGGTCAGATAACTTTGCAACAGACTTTGCTGTTCCTGTTGATGGTGGGGTTTTTTTGGTGGGCTTTGTTTGGTTTCATTTCGGGGTTTGACATTTTGTTTCCTATTTTTAAAGTTGTTATAGTGACACACACCCCCTCCTGGCTGGATGTTATCTCCTGGGACCAGTAGCCTGGTTGCAAACTTCTGAGGCTTTGTTTGGTTTCATTTCGGGGTTTGACATTTTGTTTCCTACTTTTAAAGTTGTTATAGTGACACACACCTAATCTTTGCACTCCCTTCATTGCCTAGCACAGGTATCCAGATCTATCATAAATAATCTCAAAGAAATGGTGTCTCATGAAATCTGCTGTGCTGGCTGAGGGGTTGGCAGCAGTTGCCTCCAACGGCAGACTGGAAGTAACAAGTACACAAGGCAGATCTCAGCATCACAGCCATTTCCACACTGATTTGGATCACCGGAGTCCCATGTCCAAAGTGGTTTGTAGTATCAGAAATCAGATTTGGACACTCATGCAATTAATTAGTCAAGCTCCTGTATATGGACAGATATCAAATCCACAGTGAGTGTCTGTAGGTTTTTACGCTTCTCCTATTTCCTTAACTAGTTTAAGCATGATGTTTTGCTTGGGTTTCTTTGGTTTGTTTCTTATAGAACTTGTTTTTATCATAAGCAGAGATGAGGACCATGCAGCAAGTTGTTGCTTATTCAGAGAAGAGAAAAGCAGGGCTCATTCAATAAAAAGTGAAATTAAAACCCAATTTTTGTTCCTCCACCGAAGTTCTGAACACTGAAATAAATAAATGTTCTGAACTGTGGCTTTTGACAAAATAGGAATTAAAACACCTTTCTTAATGGAAAAAATCAAAACACAGTTAAATAAGTGGTGGTTGAGCTAGAGCAATAAACATATATTAAAGCAGTAAATCAATTTTTATTCAAAATTCACTCTAGTTCTCCTTTCTACTCTACACCAGCTAGTTTGAACTGCACACCAAAATCACTATGTGTTTTACATATTCTCTGAAGACTTTGGAGGCCAAAAATCTAAACATCACTAAGCTTCCTTTACAATGAATATGTTTTTGGGGAACATGCTTGAACATGCTTTTTAGAACTACCAGCAATTCACTACTTTCCCTGAACTTTGGCCAAGACTGCTTTGGCCAAGATGTAACACCAAATGACTTGGCTCTCAACACAATCTTACAGCAAGGACCCACAACAAGGATTTACATCTAAACCCACACAGACTTCTGTGGCACGTGACATGATTGCTCCCACAGGGAGATGCTACTTCCAAGTTGTGCTATCAAGAAATATTCCCTGCCTTTGGCATAATTGTTCAGTAATATGCATTTTGTGTATGGAATAAAACAGAAATGCTGATGGGCCAGCTTTTATGGTTGCTGACACAAACTTTTTGAGCATAGCTGTATAAGATCTGCTGACACAAACCTTCTCCTTGAGAACAGCTGTGATTGCCTGCTGCTTTGGGGAGGGGATGGGGAGTTCTTTTCTCCCTTTTGCTGCCTCCTGTGGTGAACTCCAAAATGCTAGCTGTGCTGATAGGGATGGAGTATCTGCCAATAGCTCATTATGATATAGATGCAAACACATAAAAGGCAGTCAGTTCTCCTCCTGGCTTCATCCTCTATTTGTCTTTCAGATTATTTAATAATCCCATGATCAGCAGTATTTGAATAAGACGGACAGTTATCAAAAGTGCTCCAGTTAAAGCTGAATACAGCATTATGCCTATTCCTCTAAACTGATAAGCACTTGGGATAGGCAAAATTCCCACAAAGAATGAGATGCAAGGCAAGTTACTTGAAGGTTAGTGAGCATATTCACAGAGGACAAGTGCAGCTTGAGAGAGGGTAAGGCAGCAGCATCCCAGGCTCTGCATTTCAGGGCACAGCTAGTGTTTAAGTGTTTTAAAAAGATAGTCAAGGAGCATCCCATCTCCCTGGTTCAGCACAAATAATTCAGAGCTTATGTCTACCCTCATCAACAACGAAGAGCTTAAAGATATGCTTAAAAGTATTTTGCTGATTTCGGGCCTCAGTGGCTTGTTTGTGAGGATCTCAGTGCTGACAACTCCTCCTTGAATGTAAAAGTGCATTTGGGTCTTGGAGGAGCTGATGTACATTGCAAAGTCTTTCATAGCAGTTGCCACCACAGAAGCCTCATTGCTTAATTTAGATATCCTACAGCAATTACTGCCAAGCTGTGTCTGTGTTGATAAAGCAAGCATTTTGCAATTCCAGATTTTTTTGACTTGTGAATGCTCATTTCATTGGTCCTAGAGTTGCCTTAATATAGCACAAGGTCAATCTTCTGATTTCTAACCACCCTCTTATTCACATGTGTTTCAAGCTCGCAGCTCAAGCAGGGCTGGTCACTCCCTCAGTAAGTCCACACTCAGGTGTCAAGGCCTAGAGTGCAGCACTCATCAGAAAAGCTCATCCTGAGCAAAAGCATGAAACTTCCTGTTAAATAAATAAATTTAAATTCCTGTTAAATAAATTATATTTAAAAAACCCCAAAACCCTACCATTCACCCCCAAAAATTCAACTAAACAAACAAAAACCTCACCACAATGATGAGCTACAATTAAAAAAAAATTAAAATCAGTACTTGTGACACCTTCCTGTTAAATAAATTATATTTAAAAAACCCCAAAACCCTACCATTCACCCCCAAAAATTCAACTAAACAAACAAAAACCTCACCACAATGATGAGCTACAATTAAAAAAAAATTAAAATCAGTACTTGTGTTGTAAGACACACTAAGACCAGGGTGCTAAGCCTGAGACAAATGTGCTTTCCTAATGTCTGCCAAAAAAGTTTTGTGCCAGGAGACATGAGACACACATGCACAAAGCTGCATTTCTACATTCCCCCCTCTGCCCCCATTCAAACAATAAAGATGATTAGATTTTAAATAGCATAGTCTCTGTCCAGTGAAACCCTCTGTGTTGCAGGCAGAAATGCACACAACCACACTGCTCAGCTCAGTTGGTTGCAGACAGAAAGCCTAAGCAAATGGATGAAGTACTGACAGAAAAGTCAGCACACTGTGCCTTCTTCTAACAGAAATTAACAATCCTGACCTTTTCTTATAAGAAGTATAAAAAATGAAGACATCCATAGACCCCCAGTACTCTGTCTTTATTGTCCAACTAAATTTTTCTATCAAAATTTCTATATATATCTTGAATTTCAGCAAGGTGAAAATAGGAAAGGAACTGTCACTGAAAGCTCCAGGCTTAAGAGTTGTCCTTGTTTACTTTTCCTCAAATAAAACATTTCTCTTTCCTGCACCAAAGGAATTATTTGGAGTCTCATACCATTCTCTGAAAGCCATCTCAGATGGTATAAAGCTATCATCTTGTCCTTTGTTGTCTTTCCTCAAAGAATTCTTCTGTAGTGAGACAGAGAAGGTAGTACTTGTGGGGTGACAAAAATAAATTGAAAAAAGCTAGCAAGATGTATGGTGTGACCATTGCCAGCCCCTCTTGGCTGTGCAGCTTGCAGTTGGAGCTTCATCTGAAAACAATCAAGTTTTGTGCTTTCACCAGGATGGAAGGTCTTACCTCTCCCTACCTCCAGAAATGGGAGACAAATGGCAAAAAAGAAGCTCCTGAAACCTACGGACCAAATAACAGCAACACTGAGTTACACAGATGCTGGCACATTAAGGAGAATTTTACAAAAGCAATTCTTGTCCTTTCTACAAGCTGTTGTAAGCATCTCTGCCTCAAAACTCTCCAAAAATAGCCCAAATCTGCTATAATTCACAGACTAGCTAGCTGAAAAAAAAAAAAATCAGACTGCCTTAACTATCTATTGCCTAAATCCTAAACGAGCAAGGAGACAAAGCAGAGTACACCATTCACCTTGAAGCAAATAACTTTTCTTGTCCTGAAACAGAAAACAGGAGTTATTAAGCTAGGCCATGTCCCTGCTCATTAAAATTTGACCTTTATTACTAGATCATTACTTCCAATAATTGCCCGTTTCTCCTCAAGGCAGTGTAAGGCACTTACCTCATGTATCTGAGGTAAGGATGAGTCCCTTGGCAGTGAAGGTTGTGTGGTAGCTGGACAATGGCAGAGGCTGGCTGCCTGTACCTCACTGTGCCTTGAGACAATAGGTCCCATGGATGACTGAGGAAACAATTTCATTTCTTTCTATTCCAAGGAAAAATATGATTTTCAGCTAAATGGAGAACAGTACTGAGGGTGAATACCAAATTTGCATCCTACCAAACCAGTAGCAGCACTGAAGACGGGGTTTTTGTTATTATTTTTTAACATTCAAGAGACAGCAGGGACTGGCTCTGCCTCTGTCAGTCTTGCAGCCTCCAGTGACAAAAAAAATCCCCAAACATGAATACATGTTATTAAATGTATTTTCTGCTCTGTTCTTACAGTCCTGCCTCTGGTCCCTTTGCATCAGCCACCCTGGGAAGCAGCAGGGATGTGCACAGCTCCTGTCCTATACCACAGCACTGGATGAACCTTACAGAGCTACCCCTAAAATACTACTCTGGAGCAGGACAAAGTTTAGAAACACAGTATCAGAAGGGTATAGCCCCATCTGCTGAATGTTGATCTCCACAGGTCTGTCAGCATCATCAAGGATTAGGTTGTACCTTTTGGCCTTCTGAAAAATGTCTCTTTACTCTGTGCATGACCAGTCCTTGATTGACTCGTTCCTCAGCTTTCCTTTCCCACATAAAAATTGTATCCCAAATGTAACTGGATCCTTCTATATTTAAAGAAATGAGAAATTAGGATGACTTAATTTGAAAAATATACTCTGAAGTAGGCTGAATCTCAAGGACTTCATAGTGTACAAGAACTGTATTTGATTTCAAGACTTGCTTTCATTTTTGAATTGAGACTTGTGCATTTCAGTCTCCCACATGCCACGTGAGTCCCAGTGCCTGTGCTGCAGGTCTGCCCTCTCTGTTCACACACAAACCAATCTGGATCTAAACACATTTCTCAAAAAATCTTTCAAAGTAGAAAATACTTCCACAAAAATACTTTGTTTTCAACAAACTGTCAAGAACTTTGCCTAAAATCTGTTAGCATTAAAGCAGAGTGCATTTCAAATACAGTGGATGATACAAATATGAAACTGTATTTCAAAGCCCCTGATCTACTCAGAGAGACATCCTGGAGAGCTGTTCAGAATAAACCCATGTAACAGGCAAGTCCTCAGAGCCAGACCACCAAAAAGCCAATGTTCCTGCTTGAAAAAGTGAAGCCTTTTCTCCTGCTCACCTTTTGAGGTCTCAGCTCAAATCCTCTTTAGAAGAGCAGACAAGTAAAAAACACCCTGGATTGCTAAACCATGTGAACTATCCCTACTGGTGACAGCCATGTGCATTGCTACTCAGAGAGACATCCTGGAGAGCTGTTCAGAATAAACCCATGTAACAGGCAAGTCCTCAGAGCCAGACCACCAAAAAGCCAATGTTCCTGCTTGAAAAAGTGAAGCCTTTTCTCCTGCTCACCTTTTGAGGTCTCAGCTCAAATCCTCTCTAGAAGAGCAGACAAGTAAAAAACCCTGGATTGCTAAACCATGTGAACTATGCCTACTGGTGACAGCCATGTGCATTTTTCCATCTTTCTAGTTAATCTGAAGAGAAGTCAATCTGGACAGTCCTGTGAAGTTTCTTTCAAGTTTAGCAGGGGTATCAGAGGGGAAGGCTTTGAGGAAGCAGAGCCCAGTCTAATGCTGCTGCCTGCCTGGGTCTTGCTCTGTACGAGCCTCAGAGCACAGTCCGTGACTCACTCTCACATACTGCAGAGCTCATTGCTGGTTTAGTACCCACCCACAAAAGCCTGCAAAGGCCTCAACAAAAATCTCTGCAAAGCACAGAAATCTTCACTCCAATGGACAGAAGTATAATCCTTACTCTCCCTGCTTCCCTAGGCACAAACATAGACTAGAGAGAGAGAGAAAGGGAGTAAAACCAGCCTAATGCTGCTTTAAATGATTCCAGCAACATCAAACAGATCAAAAGAACGCTATGATCTACTAAAAAAAGGAAAAAAAAAACCAACCATAAAACAAAACATCCAAACACCCAAACACAAAACCAAAACATAAAAAACCCACCCAACAAACCAAAACCCAGAACTATTTCCCACGGCAATCAAGAAATCATTGTGAACTTTGGTGCACCTAAAATACACATATATTTTTCAGATTGCTCATACTGGTAGATGATGATAGTATCATCTACCTTCCCTGTCATTTCAGATTGAAGTGTGAAATAGAAATGGCATTTTTGTTAAAATACTCAAAATAAGTCCTATTTTTAAGTTGCATACTGCAATCAAAAATGGGAATATATTATATTCCTTTAAAGGTAATTACCTTGCTTACTGTAAACAGTGCATTTGGCATACTCCATTTGAGCATGCAGAAATACTCAAACCAAATCCATGTTCATGTATTTTCAAGTATGAAGCAACATTTTTAATCTCCTACCTCTGCATTTGCACAAATTTGTTCTATTGTACGTATAAAAACCTTACACTTGCTCCTGAAAGACTTTAAATCAATTCAGTTCAAGTCTCTGTGCCAGACCTCTTTCTGCCAAGAACCTGGAGTTTCCTTTTTGGCTGCAAATAATTATTCTGTTCCTGTAGAGAAGGATGTAAATCCATGCTGTTCTCAGTTTAGATTTATCTTTAGAAATTTCATGGGGACCTTAGGGGAAAGCTTTCCATTCAGTTTATCTCTGGAGTTTCCTGAACAGATAGTTCAGACATCAATTTGTCTTTAATACTTCTAATTTCTGATATTTTTTTTCTTCCCCTCTTGGAAAAGCTCAGCAATTCACAGAAAAATCTTAACAGTAATTTTCAATCCAACTACTTTTGTTTTCTGAGTTTCACTCCTGCCCCTCTCCTATTCTAAGCCATGTGACATGGCAAGTTCACATAGCTCTAACCAAATCTCCAAGCTAAAGGACAGCAAAGTCTCACTAAAGAGCATTTGGCCTAATACTCTCCCCCACCTCTGCAGGAGAGGAAAAACCTTTAAGTATAGGTAAAAAGGCACTGTTGCAATAAGATTTGCCACTGGAAACATCAGAAAATAGATGTCTTAGCAGTAGAGCTTGTCTCTCGAGGTTCAGAGTGACCAAGCTCCCCTTTGGTTACCTACTAAGACTTTTTAGAGCATGCAAACTTCAGCAAGGCTAGTCACAAAAGGCAGCTGACAGTCTCACTTTCAACAAGGAAAGTAGGTAATGGATACTGTCTGAAGAGCCCCTTCCTGGCATCCAAAGGTCCAGGGTCCCCAGGAATTAACATGACAGACTTCTAGCCATGGACATGAGCAGCTGTAGGACCTTTCATGAATGTTAGGACTTCAGCGAAGAACAGACAAGTTTGGTCACTCCTGCTTTTGTAAATCCATACACTGACACACACCTGCTCTGAGCGGCAAAGGAGACTACTACGTTTGTCACTTCTCATTTATGCTACACACAATTACCCCAAAGGCAGCAAAACATGATCTATTTCAATTTAGATTTGATCTGCTCTTTCATGCGGGCACAAAGCATATTGTAGCTTTTAATCAATTAGAGTTTTAGGATCATTGAATTATTTAGGTTAGAAAGGCCTTTAATGTCATCAAGTCCAACCATAAACCTAACACTGCCAATTCCACTACTAAACTGTCTCCAAGTGCCACATCTACACATCTTTTAAATGCTTCACATTAAATTGAGCACAGTCAAGCAGCAAGATCTTAATTAGCAGCTCCATTAATATCTATGCCGTGAGTATGGTCACATACAAGAAAAAAAAAATACCACTGTGCATATTTCATCTGTACTTTGTGAACTAAGCATAAAATCTGGTGGTATCCCAACGTCCTTCAACAACTTTGCAAGTCAGGCAAGTTGCACAAAGTTCAACTATTTACAAAGCTCATAGCTATACAGAGCCATCTATTTCTAACCAAGCTACAGAACATAAATTTCATAGATCCTGAAATTATTTCATTTGTCAACATTGTCAACATCAACCTATTCTTTGCCCATCAGAGCTGAGTTTTTTTAGCAGCACTTTTTCAGAACACCTGAGCCAGCAGATGCTCTAGGCTATACAGAAACAAATGGAGAAATGCAGCCTTCAAATGATGGAAAGCCCAGAAATCCTTGGCAGGTGACAATACCCAATGTATTTCTCATAAACTGAATAATGAAACAAGGTCAGCTGGACACTCCCATAGCTAAAAAATATAGCCAGGGTCTCAAAGCAGGGTGGGGATGGCTTGGAGCCAATTTCCATAGTGACAGAACTGGGCAGATCTCAGTCCCTCAGCTGGCCAGAGACACCTGTACAAACTGTGGCTGCCCTACAAGCACACACTCTAAACCACTAGTTCTGTATGCTCTCCTCTCATCCCCAGGAGGACACAGCATCACAACAGAAGCACAAGGAGGAGCTCTCAGCAGCCTTTACAATAACCCTGCATTAGGTCTGTAACATCCTTCCTGCTCCTCCAGCAAAACAAGTGGGTAACGCAATCTAAATCACAGGAAAAGCTGGAACACAATGAGACAAACCAGCTTGTGATGGCATCATTTTAGAAAGCATGCTTTATTGCAATTGATGAACAACCTGGTTCTGGCCTTCACAGAGGAAGTGTCATGTTTTCATGGAAAAAGCAGAGGATTAAAGCCCAGCTCTCTGCAGTATTATTTTAACACTTTAATAACAGCACCAAGGCAGCAAACAAAAATCCCCTATTAACTTAAGCAGGAACAAAACTGGATCTTCTTGTAGAGTCAGCATTGCAAATGTAAGACATGCAACACAGCCTCACTCTTTTCTCCTTTTTGAAGAGTTACATAAAGTATAATTTAGCTATCATATAAAATAAGTAAGACCTCCGTTTTGTAGTTATAGACTGCACTGCTCAGCTGAGGTTTGCTTATTCTATAAAGTGTTTGCTAGGAAAGCGTATTTTCATTTAATTCATGCTAACATCCTTAAAACCAAAGGTCAAAAACAAGGAAACAACAGCTTAACTATAGCTAAGTAGGTCTTGGATAGAACCCAAAGCTGACAAGAACCAAAATCTTCACATGAGTAACAGAAACTTCAGCTTTTGCATTCTATTTAATGAAATATGATTTTTATGAGAATCAGTTTACATAGAAAGATTTTTTTGAAAACTGAACCTGATTTTGAATAAAATCTGAGTCAAACAAAGTGTTTGATCAGATTTTCAGCTAATGTGTCTTTAAGCTGTAAAAACATTTGTTTACATATGAATGAATATTTGTACTGCAGATGTTCCACACCTGTTTGCATTTTGCAGGACAGTTGCTTTTACATGTTTTTATCTCAATCACAGCACAGAGAAAACCCAGATCTAGAACTCTATCTCTCATTTCAGGGCAATTATGATTGAAGTCCACATCATGTGGTTTTCTTCTTCTTCATTCAAAGCAAACACATTTTTTTTTTTCAATTTTGGTACAGGTCTTCAAAGTAGAATAGCTTGTCATAGACTTTTAAATTCTCCTGTACTGAATTAGGATCAGTGACAGTGAGATTTACTGCATAAAACAGAACTTGACTTCTGTATAAGCATTAAGGGAAATTACAGCTTTCTTTCACTGCATCATTAAGGAAGTGCTTACACTTAAAAATCAACATTATATTACTTTTCACCCTTTGGATGACAAGTCAATTGCCTCTTGTCTCCTTTCACCTCTCATTTCCCTCACCAGCAGCTCTCGGAAACTTTTAATACAATGTTTTTCTAATATTTCACTTATAAATCTCAAGTTCAGGTTGCAATCTCAGTACAAGCAACAGCTCTGCCTGAGTACTCCCATACATTTTTTCTTCCTTCCCACGGTCACTCCCTGTATTACCAAATGTGATGGATGTTTGACAGTTACCTTAAAGGACTACACAATCAAACATGTAGCTTAAAAATCCAAACAAATCAAAACCAAACAAAGTTTAGAAATAAAGAAACATGAAATAAATAAACAAGAACTATCCTTTTCCTCATAACAAAAAAAAAATTATAGAAACACAATCAATGTAGAATGTTGACCATAACAGGCAGGGTGGTGCCAAGAATCACTTGGAACAAGCCAGTTTTGCATCTTGGCAGAACCACTCTTCAAGAAAAAGGCCATGCCTACAATCAGCAACTTCCCAGAGAGGACTTGTGGTGGTAGCTATCCAGATTACCTCTCCATGGGCCCAATCCAAAACTCATTACTGGCAACAGGCTTTTGAAACAGCCCTGTTACATTTTTTTTCCACAATGGAAAAACTCTGTATTTGATA